TCAATAACCCCCTTGACAACTGTGGGGTCAGGGAGACAATACCACAGGCAGGGCTCTCGCCTTACATGCTGCCAACCTGGGTGTGATCCCCGGTTCCCCATATGGCCCCTCAAGTTTGTTGGATAACATTGGCTTGTCCTTGCTCCTTACTCTGGGAACTTACGTTTATTGAGTTACTCCCATCACAGTGCTCCTGAGGCACACCCAATTTCATCAGGCACTTCTAATTTTATATTGCTTTTCTCTCTCCTCTCTGCCCTTTGCATGGTTTAGCAATGTCCTTTTTGTATAGGAACAGCAAGACAGATGATGCTATACTTTCGATAACATGGAAGTTAATCGATTCCAATTACTATTTACTCCTGGACATCTATCATATTTACTTGACTTAAGCTTCAATTTCCCTTTCTTTCGAACACTCCCAAAAGGAGGGTCCCAGTAAGACACTTGGATGGACCCAGGGCAAGTTGTAAGCTGCCCTGGCATTGAAAGGGACGGGCTAAGTGCCACAAAAAGTATAATAACTTAAAGTGCATGATCATGGAACAAACTCAGTCATGACCCAAAAAGAAGTAACGGAATAAGGACCCTGCTGGGTTAGGAAAGACCAACTTGGCCTGAGGACTGTGGTCTGGGATATACAGCAAGATGTCCCCAGGAAGAGCCATACTTTAAGCTTAATATATCTTACTGTGTTCATACAAAATGACTAGAAATATTAGTAGGAAGTAAATTCAGTATGATTGTTTAAATGGATTACTAGCTAAGCAAAGGCAAAAGCAATACGCCCTTGGATGGAGAATTCTGGGGGTCTGGTGCCGCCAACAGGCCAACCTGTACCTGTGGGAGTGTTTCAGCAGCCTGATGGTGCCTTCAGGCTTCCTGATACCCCAAAATTGCTGCTGTGCCTTTGGCCAGACCCCAACAACTTGGGACCAAGTTTACCAAAAAATTAAATGGCGAAAAGCTAGGTATGTGGGAGCCACACCCACAAACCACCTCTGGCTCAACTATACAAGCTCATTTATTGGCCTTATTTCAGAGACCCATAGAGAATCTCAAAAGAGATCAAAAGCTGTAGTTAAGCTCGGACCAGTGCATGGCTGAACAGACTGGGGTAAGTCGGAGGGGGAAGGGTTGGCCTGGTGGCCTGCCCAAGCAGAGCCCCCAGCAGCCACTTGCTTCCACAATCCAAAATCGTCGCCATATCCCCAGCCTGACTCCACCATCTCAGGATGAACCTCACCAAGATATAATCTGCTGAAAATTCTGGTATGCGGGTTTTGTGACTGAAATCTCTAGGCTTTCTCAAAGTTGGAGTGGGCTACTTTCCCCACTTCCCAATACATATGGAAGCACTGGCAGTCACCCCCACGAACCAACTCCATCGCCACCCTCTAAGCTCTACTACCGGTCTTGCTTCAGAGACCCCCTAAATAAATCTCCAAAGACATCAAAAGCTGCAGTTAAGCTTGGACCCGTGTATGACTGAACAGACCAGGGTAAACTGGAGGTAAACAAGCAGATTCCCTGGGAGCCACTAGCTTCCACAATCCAAAATCACTGCCAGATTCCCAGCCTGACTCCACCATCTCAGGATGGACCTCACCAAGATAGAATCTGCTGAAAATTTTGTAATGTGGATCTTAGCGCACCAACAGCCCTGGCCCAGAGACACAGCTGCAAGTCCTGGAAGACACCACAGTGCTACCACAGTGCTGGAAATCTCTCCAGGCCCTGTACCAACTCAATTTCACTGCCCCAGATGGAGCAGTCTCCCCACCTACTCAGATGGAATCCCGGTGACCAAGAGCTTCCACAAGCAAGGCTCCCCTGGTATGTGGATTCCAGGAGTAAATCTCCAGGCCGCATGGCGGCAGAGCACCCAGGCTGTCCCTCCCCAGGTTCCTACCCGCCCAGCAGACTGGCTGTCATGCCCACAATTTGCCTCCAGTGCCATCTTAGAGCACCAATAGCCCTGGTCCAGAGACTCCCAGCTGAATCCCAAAATGGATTAGTACCATACAGAGTTGTCTCTGGAACACGACCATTTACAATCTAGAAGTCTACATTTACAATCATGGCCACATGAGCTCTCATGATATTCAAAATGAGGAATGGAAAATAAATTATCTAGTGTTTGCCCCTAGCAGATAGGCTTGAATGGTGGTGGGAAAATTCAAGCAGAACATTAATGCCCCAAATTAAAGAGAGAGTACTGGGGAAATTTTCTGCCATAGAGGCAGGGTGAGGACTGGGATTTTGGGGGTGGGGGAATACTGGGGACATTGGTGGTGGGAAATGTGCACTGGTGGAGGGATGGGTGTTCCATCATTATATGGCTGAATCTCAAACATGAAAGCTTTGGAACTCTATCTCATGGTGATACAATAAAATTTTTAAAAATGTGGAATCATGCCCAATTCAATCAGCTTAATCAATGGCTGAACAAACAGCAGTACTAATACATTAGTACTGTAGCACTGTCCTCCTGTTGTTCATCGATTTGCTCGAGCGGGCGCGGTATCGTCTTCATTGTGAGACTTGTTGTTACTGTGTTTGGCATATCGAATACGTTACGGGGAGCTTGCCAGGCTTTGCCATGTGGGTGAGACACCCTCGGTAGCTTGCCGGGCTCTCCAAGAGGGGCAGAGGAATCGAACTTGGGTCAGCCATGTTGGCCGTGTGCAAGACAAATGCCCTACCCGTTGTGCTATCGCTCCAGCTAATACATTATTTTAATAAAAAAAAAAAAAGAGAGATGGAGAATCCCACCTTTGAGCAGATCTCCTAGTAATCTCCTAGTGCTGAACCCCAGATGAGATTTTGTACAGCGATAGCACAGCAGGCTGGAGCGATAGCACAGCGGGTAGGGCGTTTGCCTTACAAGCGGCCAACATGGCCGACCCGAGTTCGATTCCTCCGCCCCTCTCGGAGAGCCCGGCAAGCTACCGAGAGTATTCGATATGCCAGACACAGTAACAACAAAGTCTCCAATGGAGACGTTACTGGGCCCGCTCGAGCAAATCGATGATCAACGGGAGGGCCTTTACCTTACCTTTTACTTGAGTTAATCTCCTAGAAGAACTTCCCTTGAAGGGGCTTTACAACTGTTCAACCACACCTGTGTGTACCCCACCCTTCATGATTTCTATATAATTAATGCTGTGAGAAAAACAAACGGTCTCTGACCACACCAAAAAAAAAAAAAAAGGAAGAAGTAGTTCTGGCATGGACAAACATTATTACTGCTACTCTTTTTTTTTAAGGAGGGTTGGGGGTTGGGGGTGGCCAGATCATACCAGGCGGTGCTCAGGGCTTACTCCTCACTCCGTGCTCAGGAATCACTCCTGGCAACACTCCTGACCATATGAGGTGCCAGGGATTGAACCCAGGTCGGCCACATGTAAGGCGAGTGCACCACTCTACTATCCGGCCTCTCACTGTTATTTTTTTAAAAATTTATTATTATTATTTTTAGTTTCGACCCGAGTTCGATTCCTCTGCCCCTCTTGGAGAGCCCAGCAAGCTACCGAGAGTATCTCGTCCGCACGGCAAAGCCTGGCAAACTCCCCATGACGTATCCGATATGCCAAACACAGTAACAACAAAAGTCCCACAATGGAGACGTTACTGGGCCCGCTCGAGAAAATCGATGAACAATGGGAGGACAGTGACAGTGATTTTTCGTTAAAGAGCTATGTTTTACAAGGTTACTGATAGTTGCATTTTCATTTCATTTCATTTCATCATCCTGTTATTCGTCGATTGCCTCGAGCAGGCCCCAGTAACGTCTCTTTCATCCTAGCCCTGAGATTATATTCAAGGCTCTTTAGGAGAATGAGACCCATCATTGTTACTGGTATTTGGCATATTTGGTACGCCACGGAGAGTTTGCCAGACTCTGCCCTGTGGGCAGGCTACATTCGATAGCCTGCAAGTTTGTCCAAAGTAGGAATGAGACAATAAGATGTCATAAAAAAAAAGTTCCGGGATCTGGATTTTATAGTCTCTGAGTCTTGGCCGCTGATGGGATTACACGGCGCCAGGGGGCCAGGTGGTGGGTGTGACCCCCGCCTACTGGAATTTGGAGGATCTGGGTGGAAGATGCTCGACTCCAATCCGAGTAGGCTTGGAGGTCTCGGCCCCGGAACCCGCGTGGCTTTGTCCCTCTGCCAGTACCTTCATGTGTGCGGAGAGTGGTCTCAGCATGGTGGTGGCTGGTCCTGGAGGTCTTCGGCTGCCGGAGCCCTGGTCGGGGCGGGGAGGAAAGCTCAACCCGCTCCCCTCCAATGGGCCCCGGGAAGGAACACCCAGTTGCATTTTAGGCATACAATAATTAAACACCAATCCCTCCATCAGTATCAACTTCCCTCCGTCAGTGTTTCCGGGTTCCCTTCCCACCCCAACCTCTGCTCAACCCGCGTGTCAACTTGTCAAGCACATTACAAAGTTTCAGTGGTTGCCGCCGCTTAGATCTCATGTTTTCAGTTCTGTTGAGTCTGTTTCAGATATATGACGATACCCCTTACTCCTGTCACTGGGATAGCCGAAGCCCTGATGCCTGCTCACTTACTGCTTCCTGCTCCACCCTGGATTTCTTTCCATTCTGTCTCCTTTCTAAACTCTGGAACCACTATGTTACTTTTATGAGAGAAGGGACCACAGAGTCTAGCCAGCCAGGAGGCAGAATGGGAACATGCAGGTTATTTAGGGGGACTGAAAAGGAGAAGAGTCTGGCAGGAACATCGGCCACAATTTACCAGTGACCCTGAGCGGCAGGGAAAGTCCCCTCACACCCGCGAGAGGTGAGGAATCCCCAGTGGAGGCCGCTCGACCTTCGGGCTAGCACCTTGGACCTCATCAGCCTCTCTGGGAGCCTGGGTGGCTTCCCCCTTGCTTACAGCCCTGCGAGCTGCTCTGCCCCGCTTCCCTGGACTCTCGGTCTTCCCCAGACGGAGGCTGGGGATGGAATCTGGGGGATGGGATGAAGCACTTACTGTTCCGCGACACCCAGGTTGGCGGGCAGGGAGGTGAGGCCGTTTCCCGTGAGCAGCAGAACGCGGAGGTGCGGCAGGATCCCCAGGTCACAGATCGCCTCCCCTGTCAGGCTGTTGAAGGAAAGGTCCAGAAACTGTGGTGCAAAGAGAAAAGATGCCAGCAGAGGCACTGCTTGTGACCGTGACACTGTACCTGCGCGGGCAGTCAGCTACTTTGTTTGTTTTGGGGACCACATCTGTCAGTGCTCAGGGCTCACTCCGGGCAGTGGTCAGGGATGCCAGGGATAGAACTCAAGGGCTGCCGTCTTGTCAGCCACATACAAGGCAAAGGTCTGACCTGCTGTATAATCTCTCTGGCCCCCCAGTTACTTCTTTTTAAAAACTTTCTTGGGAGGAGACAAGAGCAATAGTACAGCAGGTAGGGTGTCTTGCATGTGGCTAACCCCAGTTTGATTCCCAGCATCCTAACTGGTCCCCTGAGCACAGCCAGGAGTAATTCCTGAGCAGAGGGCCAGGAGCAAGTCCTGAGCATCACTGGGTGTGACCCAAGAGACTAAAAACAAAACAACTTTGGGGGGGGGGGGGATAGGGGAATTCCCCCAGGGAGACTAATCACTTCCATACTAATCCCCTGTGACTCTCTGGATTATAGTTCAAGGCCCAAGAGAGTCAGATCACAAGATTCACCAACAGTAGCTTCCACTCGTGTGTCCTGTAGTGCTGATTAAAGCAATTCCTCCCCTTCCCTTGCCTGAACCACTGAGAGTTCATGGAGTGAGCTTTTAGCCCAACCAGAAAGGTCCTTTCTCTGTATGTTCAGACCCAAGTCTCCACAGTCCAGCCCAATGGCTGCCTCCTTGTCAAATCTCTCCGAATCTCCCCGTCACCCATGGGACTTTGTCATCTTTTGAGTTTGAGTATTTCATTTAGATTGTTTTGGGGTTACTGCCCACAGTCTGCCAGGGGTCTGTGTTAGGTGGACACATATCTGAGGACACATATTGAGAATAATGACCCCAAAACAGCGAGTGACGGCTGCTGGGATACAGATGTGCTGATGGGGTCCTGGCATACAGCAGCAGATGCGACCATAAACTCTGCAGGGTCAAGAGCTGTACCACTCTATTGCTCTGCTCTTCAAACCTGGCATCGGCTCTGCCACAGAGGGACATGGAAACATCAGCTGAAATGAACTAGCTTCTGAGGATAATGACCCCAACCTGCCACCTTGTTTAGTGGATAAGATGCTGGACTTGCAAGTGGCCAACCTGGGTTTGATCCTTGGCACCCCAGATGGTCTCCTGAGCCCTACCACGAGTGATCCTTGAACACAGAAGCCTTGAGCATCAGCAGGTATAGACCCCCCCACCAAAAAAAGAATAAATAATAATAAAATAAACCAAAAAAGAGAGAGTTGACTGGGGTCAAGAAGTTAGTTAAGAAATAAGTGTTCTCAGGACCGGAGCGATAGTACAGCGGGTAGGGTGTTTGCCTTGCATGCAGCCAACCCGGGTTCGATCATCAGCATACCATATGGTCCCCCAAGCACTGCCAGGAGTAATTCCTGAGTGCAAAACCAGGAGTAACCCCTGAGAATCGCTGGGTGTGACCCAAAAAGGAAAAAAAAGAGGTGGGGGAGACATCATGGTATAAGAGAGGCCACACCATGAAAAAGACCAATTGCCAAAGAAGTGAGGAGTTCATGTTACTCAAAAATTGAGATTGTTAGAGTCTGCTTGCCAAAGGGGTGATCCTACGTGGCAAGGCAAAGTGAGATGCCTCTAAGGAAGAAAACTTAGAAAGCTAACTTGAATAGGCACATAAAAGGGTATGAAAAATTCCCTCCCTCATACCCATATGTGGGCAATCAACAGATCTATCAATTCTACCTCCTTACTATCTCTTCCAGCTGTTCCCTCCAATCCACTCTCCATAGAGCAGCTTCTTTAAGGATAGCTCTAAGCTATACAAGGTGGCCAGTGCTTGCTAGTCTCGCTCCTGCTGCCTCTCCAGGTTCATCTGTCACTACTCTTGACTGTGTCTCACTCTTTTCCTGCCATATTGAACCATATCACCAGTGTTCTAGCTCGGGACCTGACAAGCAAAGGCCAGCAAGATGAGTTCAGCTTGCAGCTTGTTTTGTATGGCCCATGAGCTAAGAATTAATTTTTTTTTACATAGACAAATACAAAAGAGAACACTGTAACACATTCACAGTTTTAGAATGCAGTTGGACTCATTTGCTTGCAATACTACCTGTGCCCAATTTCCTTCCACACCATCAGAGTTGTCTGGGTATGACAGGAGGGTTAGTTAATTACAACTGGTCTCATCCACCTTAGTTAGGGACCAGACAACCAAAACTAGATTTCCCTGTAGAAAATTATCTCTCTCATAGACAGAGTTTGCTGACCCTTGTCCTGGCTTTTCTAGCTGTTGACTATTGGGTCCAAATGTGCTTTCCATAGAATTGACAGTTCAGAGGAATGAAGAGGCTGAAAGTCACAGGAATTTCACAGCTGGCCCAGAATTTCTTAAGGGGAACTTTAAGTTACTTGGTCCCAAAAGCATGACATATCAGGGACAGCACCAAGATGAAGAATCAGGTCTCCTGACTCGCAGGATAGGGAAGCAGGGTTCCCCCTTTTCAGCAGGGTCCCCACTTTTGCAGAGGATAAAAATATGGCACAGTCAACTTTTTCTTGACTTTAGAAGAATTCTCCTCAAGGTGGCAGTCTTCCTGGCAAACAAGGACAGAAGAGTCACTAAGCTGGCTAGTCCCTCTGCTGAGTCACACCAAGTTTTACTACACATCCAAGTATTCACTAGTGTGGGCTGCAATTCCTGAGTACTTGACAGGGTTAGTCTTTTCCTTCAAGAGTCCTTGTAAATCATATAGAAATGAAAACAAATGACTGCCCAGGAGATTTTTTCCCCTTCTCATTTACATTCTGCATTGATTTTGCTCTCTCTCTCTCTCTCTCTCTCTCTCTCTCTGTCTCTCCCCGGACTTTGCTCTCTTTCTCATTTTCTGGACACACCTGGCAGTGTTCAGGGGCTATTCCTGGCTCTGTGCTTATAAGTGACCCCTGGCAATGCTCAGGGAACCAGATATGACACCAGGGATCAAACTGGAGTCAGCCACCTATAAGGTGAGGACCTTCCTTGTACTATCTCTCCAGCCCTGGTCTGCTCTTTCATATAAATAAATTCCTTCAGGTAAGGCTATGTCTGCTGGACAAAAAAATCTTCATCCAATGCTATCGAACAATGAAGCAAAGCCTCGTAAAAGTTAATCACAACTGAAGAATAGACAAACTGCTTGTTTGGGGGTCAGATTCTGTAACTGGGTCTCCCTCTCCTGGAGTTTTAGGTGAGGAAGACAAGGATGCCTGGTACAAAATACATAAAAGCCCAAATAACTCCAAATAACTAATTATTTTAAGGAAAAACAAAACAAAAATAATAAAAGAAAAAGAAAGAAACCCTAAAATCAAATGAATGTAAGTTTGCCAAAAGTTCCTGGTCCTGTAAGTCAGAAAATGCCTCCTTTCATTTCTAGAGCATTTGGAATCTGTTTTCTGCTATCTACACAAAATTCAGCATAAGAAAAAGTTTTTAATAGCACAAAAAGCATCACCTGTTACTCCCTTGCTAGTGATTAGGCTTTTGAGACCTCTGCCTCCTGGGCAAGATTTGGGATCCCTTTTGTCCCAAATCATCTCAAATCTCTGTTGTTCACCACTTGACTGGAATGACCTGAACCCATTGAGAAAAAGCACTGTTTTACCCCCAGCAAGCCTCAAAAATGCAAGACCACAGGATTTTATGAAAGCTGTCATCTCAAATCATTTGAAGTTTTTTCAAATTCTTGGACCTCTCTCACTCCCTCCTTTCTTCTCTTCCTTTCTCCCTCTCCTTTCTTCTCCAACCCTACCCGTCCCCACCTTCAAGGTTAAGGGGCAGTGGTGGGGGTGGGGCGTGGCAGGGGGCTATTATAAAAAATTGCCAGTTCTTGATTTCTCAAGGTAAAAATTAAGTTTTAAGTTACTAATTCTTTAGGGTCAAGGCCAAGGTTCATGGTATGCGGACACTTTGCTGAGGTTTCAGTTGGAATCACCTCTGTTATGTTCGTGGAGATGAGGCCATTATGACTGAGTGGACCAAGCCAGGTGTTTTGTTATCTTATTTTTTCAAATCTGTGCCTTGGTGAAGAGCTCTGGAGGAAGATATGCTAAGAGTCTGTTGCAACATTTACAATAATATGATTTCATTTCACATTCATCTCTAAGCCTATTAACTAGGCCTGCATCCTGCCTGATACCAGCCTGCTAGAACCAATCAAGAATCGCCCAGCCAAGGATGGTCTCTGGAACCAGCCCCGAGTGCTTGGCCTTCAGCTAATCCACCCTTCTATGTCTACCAGTTACCCTCCATGGCCCTCAGCCCCTACTGGATCCAGAACTCCATTCAAACTTTCTTTTGCTAATATTCAGTTTTAAACCCACTTTTCCGCATGGGAATCTTGGGGCCATTCATCTTCCAGGACCACTTGGCAATAGACATATCGTCTTCTTGCTGCCACCACCACCATCACCACCACCAAATCAACCACCCTCCTTAGAAGGCAACTATGATGCAAAGGTGCTGCTGGCAAGACCCGGAGAGCCTCTTCCCACAGTGATCCTCAGCAGGGAACTCCACCCCCGTTCCTTACAGGAGAATAGATGGTACCAAACACTCCCTACCTCCAACTTACTTCCAAGAACCTAAAGTCTCCATATTTCACGTAGATTGTTTTGATGCCATTAAATGCGAGCTCCAATTCTTTTAAGGTCGGAAAGGTGTGAAATGCCTCTACAGGGGTGAGAGAGAAAGGGAGACTCTGAAATCTGTGAAGGTCTTAAGAAAAAGATACTAACAGTGTCCACTTTGGGGGGCCCAGAGTGGGTTGCAGCAGGCACTATCTGAGGGGCTTCTATAAGGTTTCTAAATCTCTAACAAACCTGGAATACAGGGATCTCTACCACTCTGCAGCTGAACAAACTGAGTCACACTAAATGATTTTCTAGAAATAAAAGAGCTGATAAGTAGGAGAGCTAAGAATTGAATCTAATTTTTTTAAATCCCAAAGCCCCATTAAAGATTATTATTCTAATCACAAAAGTAAAACATCAACACCCAATAAGAGTAAAAGTAAGTAAAGGCCCTCCCGTTGATCATCGATTTGCTCGAGCAGGCCCAGTAACATCTCCATTGGAGACTTTGTTGTTACTGTGTCTGGCATATCGAATACTCTCGGTAGATTGCCGGGCTCTCCGAGAGGGGCGGAGGAATCGAACTCGGGTCGGTCATGTTGGCCACTTGTAAGGCGAACGCCCTACCGTTGTGCTATCGCTCCAGCCCAATAAGAGAGAGAGAACAAAAAGGAATGCCCTGCCACAGAGGCAGGGTGGGATGGGAGGATGGGAGCTGGGAGGGATACTGGGATCCGTGGTGGTGGGAAATGGGCACTGGTGGAGGGATGGGTATTTGATCGTTGTATAATTGAAACCCAAGCACAAAAATTTGTAAGTCTACAACTGTACCTCATGATGTCTCACTAATAAAAATTAAAAAAAAAAAAGTCAAGCGACACGAAAAATGTTCCCTTAAACCCCAGTATTTAGGGGCTGGAGTGATAGTAGAGTAGGTAGGGCACTTGCCTTGCACAAAGCCAACCTGGGTTTAATCCCCAGTACCCTATTTGCCCCCTCGAGCCTATCAGGAGTGATCCCTGAACAATGAGCCAGGACTAAGCCCTAGCACCACTAGGTGTGACACCAAAATCAAATAACAAAACAAACTACCTCTCCAAAAAAAAATCCTATTAATATTTATTCTTCTGAGGTAACTATTAAAAGTTGCTAGGGGCTGGAACGATAGTATAGAGGGCTGAAGAGTTTGCCTCGCATTCAATCAAGCTGTGTTCAATCATTACATATGGTCCCCCAGCATTGCTAGGAATGATCCCTGAGCACAGAATCAGGAGTAAGTCCTGAGCACTGCTGGATGCGGCCCAGAAATTAAAAAAAATTAGAAAGTCACATGTGTAATGCTCGAGGTTTTTTTTTTTTTTAAACAAAGGAATCACACCACACACATTGTGATTTGCTTTTCCCCTTAACTGTATGCCTTAAGACAATCTGAGGGGGCTGGGAAGGTAGCTCAAAGGGCTGGAGCATGTCTTTGGAATGCAGAGCCCAGCCTCAATCCTGGCACTACCAGGCCCCTCCAGCACTGCCGGGGAGGACTCTCACAAACCGTCCCAATTCCAAACACAGAATTGCATCAGGAAGACGGCTCCAACGGCTGGCACAGATGCTTTGCCTATCAGAGCTGTAGGTTTCAAACCCCGGTGAAACGCCCCCCCCCCCCACCCCATCCCAAGCACTGAGCTGGGAGTAGTCCCTGAGTAATGCTTGGTGGAGATGCCCCCAAACCAAAACCAAAATCATATAGATAGTCATGATGTCTGAACTATGTTCTATAACACAGGCATCTCTTGTTTAACCAAAGCCTTACTGACTGCCATTCGATTATTCTTTCTGTTTTGTTTTGTTTTGTTTGGGGGCCACACCCAGCGATGCTCAGGGGTTACTCCTGGCTCTGTGCTCAGGAATTATTCCTGGCACTGCTTGGTGGACCATATGGGATGCCGAGGATCAAACCCAGGTCAGTCAATTATTCTCTTCTTTTTGCTTTTCTTTTTGGGTCACCCCTGGCTATGCACAGGGGTTACTCCTGGTTCTGCACTCAGGAATTACTCCTAATGGTGCTCGGGGGAACCATATGGGATGCTGGGAATCGAACCCGGGTTGGCCGCGTGCAAGACAAACACCCTACCCTCTGTGCTACTGCTCCAGCCCCAGTCAACTATTCTTCAAATAACACTTTTCTACATCTTCACACTAATTTACCCTTGGAGAAACTTTCTGTCCCTCTTTTCCTGGGAACCTAAGACAAATGATGTGAGGTTACTAGGCAATATTACTTGTGGTAAAAATAAATCCATGTGGACAAATTCTATCTTAACCAGGATTCAATAAATGAACTCTACATCTGAGAGGAGGGAACCAGAATTTGGGGCTCCCCTCTTTGTGCTGCCTCTTTCAATTGAACACATTGTTTGCAAGAACTCTAGAAACCATTATTAGCATGTTACAAGATACTCTTAGGAGGAATGAGATTTTCTTTTTTGAAAGGAGCTAAACCCAGTGTGTGTGTGTGTGGGGGGGCACTTAGTGGTGCTCAGGGCATCATGTGGTGCTGAGGATAGAATCCGGGACTTCTGCATGCCAAGCATATGCTCCAGCCCATCTGAGCATCTCTCTGACCCTGGCGTAAAAGGTTTCTAAATCAGATGGCTTCTGCATCCTCACAGTGAGTCTGTCTTGACCTGAGCTGACCTCTGGCCATTGCTCTTCTGGGAAGGCTCAGCTGTGAAGGAAGTACCAGTGTGTGCAGCTGGGGTGGGGTATCTTAGCGCCTCTCAATGAATAGGGTGTCATGCACCGTACCTGACGGTCTTGTGAACCAGAAGGTTTTTGCATGCGAACTTCTTCTTTTTTTCTTTCTGATTTTTAGGCTGTACCTGGCAGTGCTCAGGGCTCACTCCTGGCTCTGTGCTCAGGGATCACTCCTGGTGGGCTCAGAGGACCATAAGAGATGCTGAGTATCGAACCCAGGGAGGCTGCATGCCAGGCAGATGCCTTACCCACTGTACTATGGCTCTGGCCCACAGTTTACTTATGACTTTTGAGCCTCCCAAGCAGTCCTTGAGTGGGCTAGTGCCCCCGCGGGCAATTCTCAGGCAACTGAGCCCAGAAAGCAATGCTGCTTGGGCCCTGCAGTGCTGGGGCCTCCAGACCCGTCCCCTGGCGGGGTCTGGGAACCTCCAGGACTGTGCTTGGCAGTGTTTGGGAGACCATGTGGGATGCGAATCTCCATCAGGAGCATGCTAAACGTTGCACCTTAACCGCTGAACTATCATTGAATCTCCCCGTCAATCAAAATATTGAGTCGAGCTTAACAAAAAGACTGTTGGTGAGAGCTATCAGGATATTTCCAACAAATACTCCTGTACAACTGCATGCCTGGAGATTATGTTCCCGAAAGTGGAACTAGCAAATCAAAGGCAATGATTCTTCTAGAGACTCGCCAATTGCCTTCCAGAGATACCGCACTGCTTCATCACGCCTGTGCTGGGTCCTCGCTCTGCCAACACGGACCAACATAAATCCTTCTCATTCTCGTCAACACTATCAGGCAGAACATTGCATCGTGACGCTGTTTCAGTGAGCAGCGAGGCTGAGACCTTGTCCTTCAAACCCATGCCCCAGACCGACCTTCTTACTACTTCCTGCAGGGCAGCAACCCAGCCACACAGGTCACAACCCCCTCTACAAAGACTCACATTCACATTCACCTCACCCTCTTTCTGGAACTAACGCAGCCTTCCCACCCGGGAATGCCTTGGTCTCTCCCCTTCTCCGCACCCCCACAAGTCCAACGATTTCCATTTAGTGCCAGGCTTAGTTCAGCCTCACTTCTCCCCTGGAGGAACCAAAACACTGCCCAGAAATGCAGAAATGCCCAGAAATTCTCTCCATCTTCCTTTCTCCTAACCCCCCGCCCCACAGCTGCCACTGAACCTCTCTTTAGAAGCCCTCGGGCTCTCCATTTGCAGGACATTTGCTCAGGTCACTAGGAGCCCCTGATCATTGAGTCCTTGCTACCCTCTCTTCCCTGCTGGGACCCACCACTCCACACCAGCATCATGGGCCTCAGCTGCTTTTTCACCTTCTCACTTCTGTATCACACCACCTCAGCTTAGGCCCCTCTCTCCTCTGAGGTTTCTCCTGGCATTCTGGCCCTAGCTGAAATTCATTTTTTTGTTTGTGTGGATTGTTTTTTTCCTTTTTGGGTCACACCCGGCGATGCACAGGGGTTATTTCTGGCTCTGCACTCAGGAATTACTCCTGGCGGTGCTCAGGAGACCATATGGGATTCTGGGAATCGAACCAGGGTCGGCCGCGTGCAAGACAAACGCCCTACCTGCTATCGCTCCAGCCCCTGTGTGGATTTTTCCCTCTCTCACTGTCTTTACAGTAGGCATCCAGCGGTGACTCTTGCCTTGCCCGGCTCTCCCTCCAACCAACAGCAGCCCAGGGAGAAAGCCACGCCTGCGCACAGTCCCAATGCCCAGCAGGGGTCGCTGTGGATTCGCGGGCTACACAGGAAGGGTCTCCGCTGGGCCCGGAGCTCTTAAGGGCTTAGCAGCATTTTTATATACCTATCTCATCTGAGCCTACAAGGCTTCCTGCTTTGGGGAGGAAGAAAGGAAGGGAATTATCTCCATTTATAGAGGCAGCAGCTCACCGAGAAATGTTCTAATTAGGTCGTGCCAGCTCTGGGCTGGAACTGTGGCCAGCGCACAACAAAAGAAAGATGTGGGGTCAGCCAAGGGTGGACAAGCCCTAGCCAGGGGGACCGGGAGAAGGAAGAAAAAGCTTACCTAGAGGCAGGTGGTTTTCAGAGGCATTGATGTAAATCACAGACTGAAAATGCTTGAAATCCTTTTCCTTAGCCTGTGGGAAGACGTTTCAAAAGCAAGCAAGCAAACAAAAACTAGGCAGGTTAGTTGCAGAGGGTCCAGAAGTGCAGTCAGGATCCAAGACCCCCACGACCCAGGACACACCCTGAGTGCCAGAGTAGCCGCTCGCTGAAAGGGCTTTTCTGCTCCCTGTTTGCTACACACGAATTTAAATGGACAGAAAAGCAGAGTGAGTGAAACTGGGCGGGACCCTCTGCAGCTTGAACAAACCAGCACATTTCACTCTCTTTGCTTCAAATATTTCTGAGAAATAAAACATGATCCCTTAAAGGTAACAAAACTGCCTACTCCTTCCCCATCATCCTTTGCCCTCTCCCCAGATAACATCTGTCCTGAGTTAGCGATGGCGGTTCTCAGGCCTGTTTTGTACCTGAATATATACACATGTGCATACCCATAAATCGCAGGTAATTTGCCTATGTTAACCTTTTCGTCAGAGGCAATCATTCTGGAGATAGCATTCGGCAGCCTGCCCTTTTCACTCCACACTGGCCTCTGAGACCTAGTTACTGTGACATATGTAGCGCCACTTGCTGTGAATTGCCGCACAGTATCCCATCGCTTGCATATACCGCAAGTTACTGGTTCCTTTGGATGCACGTTTCATCTGTTTCCAAGTTTTCAGTTATTCCGAATAAGGATGCTGTGGGCATTCTTATATACACCTGCTCCTCCCTTCTCTAATGACACCCACTGCTGGGCTGAAGGCAAAGCACCTCTCCTTCTCTCAAATAGCTAAGCCAACTGACAGCCCCAATGCCATGGGTAATTATTCTTATTACTTCAAATTCTTGCAAAAAGCATTATTTTTATTTATCACTCTGTCACACCCAGCAATGCTCAGGGGTTACTACTGGCTCTGCACACAGAAATTACTCCTGGCAGTGCTCGGGGACCATATGGAATGACTGGGATCAAACCTGGGTCGGCCACGTGTAATGCAAACACACTACCCGTTGAACTATAACTCAGGTCCCCCTCGCAAAAAGCATTATAAAAAAAAAACCCTCCATTTTTCATCTGATGGCTGTACAATCATTGCATTTCTATCTTTCCTTATTCCTTGTGATGCTGAACAAGCCTTCCTAAACTTATTCGCCCTTTGGGTTTCTCATCTATGATCTGACATATGTGTATCGGTTTATTTATTCTTTTCTATGAATTAGTTTGGGAGAACTCTTCAACGCGTTGTGGGTCCTGATTCCTTTTAGCTATCTCAGTTGCAATCATTTCCCCAGGCCTGCAGCTTCACATTTAGATTTGGTACCTTACACGAACACCTTTTACTAAATTCTACAGATACTCTCTTTATGGTTTGAGTCTTTTATTTCTTGTGTAAGAAGCCATCTTTTCTCCAAAGGACTTCTTCAATCAGAAGCAATTAAGTTCTTGAGGCCAGAGATAAGCCATATAGACCTCAAGGTACTCACCCCTCCCAACCTGAGTGCCACTGCCCCCAAAATGTGCTGCCTCTGGTGACTGAGCCCCCTTTTTCATACAATGAAGACCTAACCTTGATCTACATTCTACACATGTCTTTAAGTATTCCTTCAACCTCTTCATATTCAGCAACTGCTTAGAGGAGAAAGAGCAGCATGAAAACTCAGTATTTGGGGCTCAGCTAAATAGCGTGGGATCTTAGGTACTGGGGCTCAGCTAAGCTAAGCCCGCCTGTGAAGGCGTCTTTCCTGGGTGTAAGGGTGCATGAGGGGCCCGTTGGCTGGGTTAGTGCTCAGTACTCTCATTCTTCCCTCCATCACTGCTTGAGCTAGCCCAGCCTGCCCTTGACTATGGAAATACAAGTCTGTCTCCTGTCTATCGCCGTTTCCACCCTTTTAGACAAGATACTCTAGAGGGGTGTGGGTGTGAGTGATGCCACTGGGTCCTCCAGTGAATAGGAAAGAATCCCATGGGGCTACAAAGATGTGTGGAGGGAGGAGAGGGTCAACTGGCGAGTAAGGGAAGAATTCATTCAGTCCCTAGCTGGGGGTGCAGGGGAAGGAGACACTGAGGTCTGGCTGGAGTCCTCCAAAGTTGCACTGAGAGAGCCCCCTGCCAGGGTCTGCTTTGTCTCACAATGACATGTGAACTATACATTAATAACCCTGGGGATCATCAGCATCCTGGTCTGTTCTGGAGGAACTCTCCGCCCCCAGCTGAAAGCCTTCCTAAGGAACTGAGTAAATTGAGTTACCATCCCCACCTAATTCAATTTGGAAAATATGAATGCTAAGTGCAGTGAGGCAGGCAGTTAGGAAGCAGAGGGCTTGACCGTATTTATGACCATGCGGGGCTCAGAACTCCCTGGGACCGGCTGAGACAAAGTTTGCCTTCAGAAGCCATGGAAGGCCACAGAACCAAGTTTTATGACATAATACCCTGCATTTACATTCGCTAAGTGGAGGGTCAGAAATCTGACTCTGAGCTATCTTGTAGTCTCCACAAAGAACCACAATTCATCTCATGAGGCACGGTGTCTACAAGGGGAGAATCACGTCACTCCAGCTGAAACAAGTTTCTCCTCAAGGCTCTTCTGATAGGACCTCTTCATCGTACGAATAATCATGTCCCAATACAATTCTATGGTGGAGTCAAACCCAGTTTCATGAGGTCACTTTCCTTACTTCCTACCTCATGCAGACAACAGCAACGCCCTAAGTAACACATAACTTGGTGTCCCCATATTGTTTCCGCCTAGTGAGTCCTTATCTGACCATCTATGTCTCACTTCCAACCAGATTTCCAGTCCCCAAAGACTTCAGCACTGCAGTGGATACTATTGGGTGCACCCACAGGTCTGGCTCACCCTAGTCTCACCCCTGCGGGCTGGGCTTACCTTGGAAAACTTCAGCCCACTCACGTTGATGGTGCACAGATCTGAAGGCTTCGTGACACAGTGATGCTTCAGCTGGAACACAGGACAGAGTCAGGCTCAACATGCAACAAAGCCCATATGGCTGGTTGAGTCACCCAGTGACGCCCTGCTGAGGAAGTTGGCCAAGGCCAGAGGAAATCTGTCCTGGGGACTCTGGAATTTCTCAGAAATAAGCTGCAGTCTCTGCCACCTGCCTCTCCATTTCCCAAATTGTAAGATGGGGATAGTAGTGTTTTGGGGTAGAATCCATCCTTTTGTTGAATGAGCTACCCTTCCTCTTATTGGGTAATATACCATTGTCACATTTACTCAGTTTTTGGGTCATTGTCTCACCGAGTAGAATTTATGGGCTATATAATGTGTAAAGTACAGCAACAAACTGTCTTCTACTTCCAACTAACTAAACCCTGTGACATGAATATGATTGTCACCCTATTTATCTATTTATTCTTTTATAGTGGAGGCTTTCCCAAGCAATGCTCAAGTGGGCCAACGAGTGGCTTCTGGTTATACTTGAGTCAGCCAGGCCTGCCAGTTCAATGCTTGGGTTCAGCACCACTGGGGCTATTAGAGTCATACCTGGAGGTGCTCAGAGAGTCACATGGTGCTGGAGATCAAACTTGGGTACTTGCACATGAATGCAAGGCATGTGCTACTGAGCCCTGCGCTTTCTCCCTGCCCTTCTGCTCTTTTGAAATGAGAAAAGATAGGGGCCAGAGCGATAGTACAGTGGGTAGTGCATTTGCCTTGCGCACAGCCAACCTGGGTTTGATCCTTGGTATCCCATTTGGTGCCCCAAGCACTGCCAGGAGTGATCCCTAAGTACAAAGCCAAGATTAAGCCATGAGAAGAATAAGCCATTAGAACTTCCAGTGTGGTCCAAAAGCTGAGAGAAAGAGAAAGAAGAGAGAGTGAGAGAGAGATAGAGGAAATAAGGAAAGATTAGGAGAGGTAATCTCCTAATGCCTTCAAACCCATAGGCAGTGACCTACCCATGTTTTGAACATAAATCCACAACCACTAAATCCTGCATTATTTTGACTATAATATATTACTCTACTCCTACTCACCACTTAATGAAAAAGACAAAAATCTCCACCTTGGGGCTTCCATTTATATTTAATCAAATCTCCATGTTTTTTCCCTGTCAGTCATTTATTAATAGTTCCTATCATGCTTAAAACATACAACAATGCACTGGGAAGATAATGATGAAAAGGCAGAAATAGTCATGTCTTAACAGAACTCACACAGAAAGCCAAGTAGCCAGCTGATATTTACAATTTTATAAAAACCTCTAGAGACAATAACTACACATAGAAAGGATGAGAAGATGAGAGAGAGAAGGAAGACCCCAGTGGACCAGCCATTGTTAGCTAATGTTCTTAGAATCACGTCTCTACTTCCCTGTCAAAGAATCCCAATGTTGGTAAGAGTTCTTCAAGCCACCCTCAAAAAGAGAAGCTTCGATTATCCTCAAATCCTTGTTCCAAGGACAGGTCTTAGAGGTCAAGTTACTCTCACCACTGATTTTGGACTTGGGATATAGGTCTGGTCACAGATCTTATTTTTATAAATAGACATATATTATGATAATCCCTTTATGACTATGGATACCATATGTGATGACTGGAGCTTCTGCAGCCATCTCGGGCTCATGCAGCCAACCAGCCCAAAGAGAACAAGTTAATACAATGAAGACAGAAGCTTCAGAAAAATGGAACTTCTCAGGAGGGACCTAGGCTTTGGATGATATCATTAAATCAGTAAGTTAGGCTCGTCTAAAATACAAATGCCTTTGGCTTCTTTTTTTTATATGAAATAAAAGCTACCTAGCTAATTGAAGCTAGTTAGAAAGTCACTGAAATGAGTAAGTAAACAATAATGACAGCTTAGATTAAGGTGATGACAATGGAGACGAGAAGATAGATTTGACAACTACTTACTCTGGCTTGGTAATGACGGCAGTGATGGGGGTGGTGAGGGAGACGCAAGTGTGAAGGATCACCCCAAGTCCCTGGCTTGGCAAGTGTGTACAGAGTCAATGCCATCACAGAGAATGCACAACAAACATTAGAAAAGAGGCCAGGGGATTTGGAGTAAGGGATTGTGCAGTAGGTCAACATGAGTTGCCAGCAAAACATTCCAATACAACGGGCCAGCAAAATATTCTGATGCAACAGGCCAGTAAGGTTCTAGCTGCTCTGAGAAACTCTTGCTGTATCCAGGCTGGGTAACACGTCACCTCTACTAACACAACCTGCTGTTGGAAGAAGGGAAAGGGAGGGCCTTGTGCAAAGCCTTTCTGCCTCTCCTCCCAACTATATTTCCATTTTCCTCAACCCCAGACATGAACTTCTTGAAGAGAGAAAGTAGACAGGAAGCTGGGAGAAAAGCTTATACCAATGACTCCAGATGAGAGGCACAACCTCTGTTCTCTCAGACACCATCTCCTGGAACCATAAGCAAGCCTGGGAAAGTAGGGCTACAGCGACTTTTCCTTAGAAACATTGGTTCATAAAATGTGTCTTTCCTTGCACAGTCGCTGAGAAGATGGGAAATGACCGGAGGCCTCCAGGACAGTTCCTCTAGTGTTCTTCGTGAAGCTTCCTCAGGAGCAGGGCTCTATGCAGTCGGATCCCTGGGTTTCCAGCCAAACACGAAAGCCAAAGGACAAAGGTCAGGGAGTGAGGAACTTTCCCAATCCTCCTCTCCTGGAAATCTCCCCAGACAACAGCAGAAATCTCTGGATTCGAGTTAGGGCTCAAGTGGACTTTGCAACGCATGGTTCCCCTTCAGCCTACTCCTTTGCCCCTCAACGCAGCTAAGAGGTCTTGCCTGGTGTAATGTAAAAACAGGTTCTAGGGTCAGTGCATCAGAATTCCAAACCTGATTTAGTTCTTTTTTTTTTTTCCTTTTTGGGTCACACCTGGCGATGTTCAGGAGTTACTCCTTATTTTACTTTCAGGAATTACTCCTGATGGTGCTTGGCGGATCATATGGGATGCTGGAAATCGAACCTGGGTTGGCCATGTCCAAGGCAAATGCCCTACCTGCTGTGCTATCACTCTAGCCCCCGAAACCTGATTAGTTCTAATTCTGAGAATATCAGGGTTCTAATTACAAACTCAGCCTTTGGTCAAAGCAAATCACCTGTGGATTCCTCAGTTTTCCCATCTGCATAATGGCAGCAACAAAGTAGGATGAGAAAACCCAACACACAGACAGATGTAAAGAAAGTTTTACTGAGTCAGAAAGAGAAGGACAGACATAGAAGGACTGCACTCATTTGAGGAATATAAAAATAACATAATATGAGATGAATGCTCAATGAAAGTAGACACAAGGGCCAGGAATATTGCCCCATCGTTGGAAGCCTGCCTCATGAGCTGGGGGAAAAGGCAGCTGGAATCAAGAAGGGATCAGTCAATGATGGTTGGAGGAATTGTTCGGGATGGGACATGCGTGCTGAAAGAACCAAATGTGCTAAGTTCTCAGTATCTGTATTGCAGACCATAATGCCCCAAAGTAGAGAGAGAGCATAGGGGAAATTGTCTGCCATGGAGGCAGGGGATGGGTTGGAAAGGAGTGGGGGTCGGGGATACTAGGGACATTGGTGGTGGAGAATGTGCACTTGTAGAGGGATGGGTGTTTGATCATTGCATGATTGAAACTCAAACATGAAAGCTTGTAACTGCATCTCACAGTGATTCAATAATAATAAAAAAAAAAGAAAAAGTTTTACAGGGTAAACTTTGGCTGTATATCGTCCATGACTATATTGAACCTGCCAGCTCTCAGAATCTGAGCTGGGTGAGAGAGAATACAGCAAGTCCTTATCCTCCGCCTCCCACCCAAGGACAAGCACCAGCTGCCGCCACCAATCACAGCACCGACAGACAAGGCTTCTCACCAGAAAATCTCGATCCAGGACCCGATGCTCTGGACTCTCCCCTCCGCTTTCCCATCGAGCCCCTTTCTTTCCTAAGGTCTCAAAAGAAACCTTCCGGCTCTCCTGCTCTTCCGCTGGTGCTTCAAGCACATGCTTGGACTTCTTTTTGATGTTGCACTTCCGAGCCACGACCCAGTGTCCTCGGCCTGTTGAGGAGAGAAGAGTGAGAAGGGACAAAACTCCTTCAGTTACAGCAAACTCTCCATAACCCTCGACCCCTGCTCCTGGCTCCCGCACATGCTCCATGGTGCTGCTGTGTTTCTGCCCACACGTACAAATGAAAACGGAAGACCCAGAGAGAACAGACTGATGATTTCCTCTGTGCTTGTTCTTGTTCCCATATTTGAACTGGGATCACTTAAGATGTATCTGTATCTCCTGTTCTTTGTGGGGTTTTTTGTTTGTTTATTTTGCTTTTTGGGTCACACCCGGCAATGCTCAAGGGTTACTCCTGGCTCTGCACTCAGGAATCACTCCTGGTGGTGCTAGGTGCACCATATGGGATGCTGGGAATTGGACCCGGATTGGCCACATGCAAGGCAAATGCCCTACACGCTGTGCTATCGCTCCAGCCCCATCTCCTGTTCTTCGATGAAGCCTTCCTTCCCTGCTCCTGTCCACAGTGAGGACCCTTCTTTCCTGTGTCAGCTTGTTAGTCCCCCTCTGTCACCTCCCGAGGAAGGGCCACATCAACTCAACAGGGTCTGTCTTCTCAGACCTCTCAGCCTGGATTTAATCATTATAGAAAGAAAAGCTGTGTTGTAGTTCAGGGTCAGAAAATAATTCTATTTTTAAAACGCATGTTCACTGTTACAAGAATGAGAAAATACGTGGAAGCACAAAAGAATATTAGGTTTACCAGGAAGCCCACATAAAAAAACACGAGCTCAGTGTTCTAGAATCTGCTTTCTCCTACGTTGGCAATGCAGTGCAAGGCACCCACTACAATCTGTAATGGGATTTTATGCTCCTTTGCTGGTTGTGTCTTGCTGTCTGAGGGGAAAGCTCCATGAGAGTGGGTGTTGGTTACCTGATCCTTTCATCAAGGCCTGCACAGAGCTTGCCACATGTTGAGTGTTGCTGACAAAACTTCAAGCCTCAATCCCTGTCCACAACCATGCAATCATATATTTCCTGAGAATATACTCTGTGCTGGGAGTTGGAGATCCCAGGAGGGGCAAGACTGAAGCCTTGACTCATAGGGATTCAATAGTATAAGGGGGCCTGTGGATGCCCAGAGAGGGTAGCTGCCCGCTTAGGATATGAACTAGAACTAATAAATTGAAAAGTCATTAGTGAATAGAAAAAAAAAACAGTCTGGTTCCAAAGTGATAGTACAGTGGGTAGGGCATTTGTCTTGCATGTGGCCCATCCAGGTTTAATCCCGGACATCCCTTATGGTCCCCCAAGTGATTCCAGCAGTGATTTCTGAGCATAGAGCCAGGAGTGATCCCTGAGTGCAGAGCTAGGAGTAATCCCTGAGCAATGCCAGATGTGGTCCAAAAACCAACCAAACAAAAAAATCAGACTGGGGAGGAACAGAAAACAGCCCACAAAGTATGCAAAGGGATGAAGGGCTGGCACCATGCAGGCCAGAGTCATGGGAACCAGCCTGCTCCTAGCCCCTGCCTGCACGACCCACTGGTCCTGCCTCAGGAGCGAGTGCTGGTTGACCTCCTCCTGCTTCTCGGATTAAAATCTGCTCTCTGTGAGTCACTTCCCATTTCCGGTCTGGGTCCAACACTCGAGAGACATGGACATTGGTTCCCCTCTGTCCTCCAGTCCAGGATCCCGGAGGCACCAGCTGGAGTTGGTATCCAAACTCCTAATAAGAAAGGAAGGTCCAGTGTGTGCCAGGAGATGATGGGGGTGTTGTGAGGAGAGTGTCAAACCAGAGCTGCCGATGGGAAGAGTCAGGTCAGCAAAGGTCTGGAGGACCAGATTCAAGGGCACAGTGTGATGGGGTGGGCTGTTAGTAGGAAGATGCCATTAGTACCCGGGGCTTTTTATTCCTCACTATAGCTTCTTGAGATAATTTTAGGCTTCCAGATAATAATAATAATGATGTTTGCCTTGCAAGCAGCCAACATGGCTGACCAGAGTTCAATTCCTCCGCACCTCTTGGAGAGCCCAGCAAGCTACCAAGAGTATCTTGCCTGCACAGCAAAGCCTGGCAAGCTATCTGTGATGTATTCGCTATGCCAAACACAGTAACAATTGTCACAATGGAGACATTACTGGGCCCGCTTGAGCAAATCGATGAACAACAGGAGGACAGTGACAGTGAGAATAATAATAAGAAGAAGAAGAAGGAGGAGAAGGAGGAGGAGGAAGAGGAGGAGGAGGAGGAGGAGGAGGAGGAGGAGGAGGAGAAGTACAGTTATTCTATAGCCTTCACCCAGTTTCCTTAATGTTAGCATCTTATAGAATGCTAACATGATGATCTGAAAGAGAAATGAATACCCTACAATAGCTGTAATTCATGTACAGCCATCATTGAATTTCTCCAATTTTCTCTTTGATGTCCTCTTTCTGATCCAGGAACCAATCCAGAACCTCACGTTTCATTTCATTTTTATGGTTCCTAGTCTCCCCAAATCTAAGATTTCAGTATTTTCTGTTTTGTGCGATCTTGACATTTTTGAAGGGTACAAGTCAATTCTTTTGTAATATAACCCTGAAGAATATCTCTTTCTGGGGGCTAGAGTGATAGTACAACAAGTAGGGCATTTGCCATGCATGTGGTCAAACCTAGGTTCAATCCCCAGCATCTCACATGGTCTTCTGAGCACCACCAGGAGCAATTCCTGAGTGCAGAGCCAGGAGTAATCCCTGAGCATAGATGGGTGAGGCACAAAAACAAAACCACAAAATGAAAATCCCTTAACATGAACTATTAGCAAAGGCTTTGCACTTGGACAAAAGGCTTTGCACTTGCCTGGAGAAGCAAAGCTGTACTCTACTCGGTCCATCTCAGTAGGGGTACATGCTGTGCATTTCTCTTATTACTGATGATGGCAGTTTTGATCACTCCCTCAAGGCAGTGCCTGTCTGGAGTCTCCCCGAGAAGTTACCCCTTCGTAATTAACACGGTGCCTTTCAATTATGCAAACCTCCTGTTTCTCATCCTATGCTTACACACTGATTCCAGCACTGGTGAGCAGTAACTTTATATGTCAATTTGGCAAGGCTCCTAAAACTCTGATGGAGGTGGTGCTGTGGTATTTCTCAGCTCTGGCTAACATCTACCACCATTTGGCTTGAAGTGTCCTCTCGATAACTTGTGTGAGTCTGACCAGGCAGCTAAAAGATCTTAAATGCAAAAACTGAGGTTTCCCAAAGGCTGAAAACATTTTGCCTGGTCACACAGTTCTTCCCTCACTTTTCAGCCTGTAAAATCCCTCAGATTTCAGAACCTGTCAATTCTGAAGCCAATCCCTTGGCATACATTATATAAATCTGGCTGATAAAGTAGCCAGAGAATTTTCTTCTCGCAAAAGTTATTATTTTGAAGTTTTACTAGTGATTCTCTATTTGCCTGATTTCTTCCTGATTTATAAGAGGAATTCTATTTGTTTGCTTTTGCACCACACCCAGTGATGCTCAGAGGTTACTCCTGGCTCTGCACTCAGGAATTACTCCTGGGCAGTACTTGGGGAACCATATGGGAGGCTGAGAATCAAACCGGGGTCAGTTGCATGCAAAGCAAATGCCCTGCCCAAGGCATTTGCTGTACTCCAGGCCAAGGAATTCTATTCTGGGGAGGAGTTATTCATTCTCAACTTATTTATCTATTCAAGTGGTTATTTAACTTTGTTATGGACTGTGGACATTTTTTCTATGGTTAAAATGCCCCTTTATCTTATAATGAACCTTGGTTTATTTTGCTGCCCAAATAGCCCTAATTGGCTATTGGGAGCTCTGTGACCTTTCAACACCCTCCATCAACTTTCTAAGCCCTCACTTTCTATCACCACAGCTGTTCTGAACTCAATTTGTGTTTTTCTCTGCCCTAGTCCTGGAGACAACTTTTTCTCATGGAAGTCCCGATTACTTTAATTTGAAAATGGTATTTAGAAACCCAGATCTAAGTCACAGGTATGCTCGCCAAGGCCAAGGAATCACTACACTAGGAAAATTTCACATATATGATTCAAACATGTTAATACACACAGATACACACAGAGGTACTTACATCTCTATCCACTTATGTATGTGTGGGGGGGGTGGGGGGAGGGATGGCGGTGAATATGACATGATGATGACCTCATGCTGAGAGTTCCCTAGAAAGATTTTAAACAAGGAGGTGGATTAAGAAAGTCTCTATGGGCCAGCTAAATTGTACAGTGAGTAGGGAGCTTATTTTGCACACAAACCACCCAGGTTTGATCTCTGGCACCCCATATGGTCCCCCAAGCCCTGCCAGGAGTGATCTCCAAACACAGAGTCAGGAGTAAGACTTCACTGCCAGGTATGGTCCCAAACAAAATACCGAAGAAACAAAAAGGTCTCTATGTAAAAATTGTCATCATGCTAGAGAAGTGGGAGTGCCAATTCAAAGAAACGCTCTCCAAGATTCCGCATATAGAGTAGCCAAAAAAATCCAGAGCCAACAAAGTGTCAAGTTAATTCTATCTTTTCAGACCCTTTCAATGGCACAAATAAACTCCAGTGAACTCGTACTTCTTATCTGTATGTCCTCTCTAAGGCTCCACTCCGAGTGATGAGTGATTACTCAGTGGAGTAGAGTCAAGTTGGAGTCATTTTATTTAGGAAACGAGCAGAATATGATTATCAATCAAATGAGCAACAGGGAAAGGAGGACAGCTAGTGGGAGGGTGGGGGTGGAGGGATGGGTTGCTAGACATGGTTTATTGGGAAAAGTGGGACAAAGATGGGCTTCGCAGAATGGGAGGAGTCTGGACCATTGGAATGAGGGTCAGAACATTCTGGGGAAAGGGAAAAACTGAAAAGAGAGCATGGGGAAAGGTCACATATAAAGATAGGGTCATGCTGCGGAGGTTGAGGGCATGTTAGACTTGAACCCTAAAGGAGCCCGCAAGAAGTCACTAAATAGAAGGAACCTTTAGGCTATGTTTCAGGGTGACAGGCTCCCCTTGGAAGTTTCCTTGGGGCTTCTGTAGAAGACAGGCTCAGGGAGACAGGATTAGGGGAGGTGGGGAGGCTTAATGGAGGGGAGGAAGAACTAAATAGACAATATATCCAAAAGCAGGATCTGGAGTGAAGCAAGGGCATCTATTTGAGAAGTCATCTGACCTTCCTCCAGGGGTCGCACCAGATGTTTGGCCGGAAAGCTGTTACTCATGGAAGGCTTCCCTTCGTCCAGCTTGTAGATTCCTGAGGAGGCCATCTCCCTGAATCAAGCAAGGGGAGAGGGGAAGAAAAGTGAGGCAATGGCGTGCTGCGCTCTCATTCCGACCAGCTCTCTGGACCCCAAGCCCTGAGCACACACAGGCCCCTGTCCCCTGAAGTGCACCCCCGCCCCAGCCCCAGCCTACTGTCCAGCTTCAGAAGTGGGCCGGCCCTTTAAACAAAGAGAGAAACAGGTCTTGGGGTTTGCGGTTCAAATTCATTCGACTCAGTGGAACACAAGCAAAGCACCACCTGTGGGCTCAGGCAGACCTGGCTTCAAGTCTGACTCTACTGTCCCTCACTTACTGGTTGGAAAGTGACTCTACCCCTGTGTGCCCCAGTTTCCTCATCTGTAGAATGGGGGTGGTTATACCTTTGTAGATGGAGTTGCTGATCAAGTTAAAAAGCTTTATAGGAACTGCTCACCAGAAATTTTGTTTGGGAACCTTACAGGAAATTCTCAGGGCTTACTCCTGGTTCTGTACTCAGGGATCACTCCTGGACAGCCTCTGGGGAAAATATGGAATGCCGGGAATTGAATCCAGGCACACCACACATAAGGACAGTACCCTGTCCTTTCTCTCGGGTCTAAGAAATTTTGTTTTTAGAGTTCAGAGAAAGAAAGTCGCACACAATAGAAAAGAGTGTGTGCAAATAATGAGATTTGAAGTAAATAAATCCCGACTTTCACTGTATAATTAATGCATCCAATGCTTTCAGTCCACAAACTGGTTTATAATCTCACTCAGCAAAGCGACTTTGGGTAAATCATTTGTGCTCCTTTGAGCTTCAGATTTCTCCCACACAAAATGAAGATGAAAACCAGTGCCTTGGCATATTTGACTCTGGAATTGCCAATGGCCCAGCCTGAAGCTGGGACCTTCTTTCTTTGTTTTGTTTTTGGGTCATATGCAGCTGTGATTAGGGGTTACTTCTGGTTCTGCACTCAGGAATCCCTCCTGTGGGGTTCAGGGGACCACACCCGATGTCTGGCACTGAACCTGGGTCAGCCAAATGCAAAGCAAATGCTCTACTTGCTGTACTATTTCTATGGCCTCCTGGAACTAATTTCTTTTCCTTCTATGTCATGGGACTCTCTCCTCCCTCTGAAGAAGTCCGAATTCTATATTAAATGTGTTACCTTTTCTCTTTTCTCTTTGTGTGTGTGGGGCAGTGAGTGCAAGGGGTTGGGGGAGTTAATTTATACCTGGCAGTGCTCAGGGATCACTTCCGGAGGGGTTTGGGAGACAATATGGGGTGACAAGAATCAAACCTGGGACAACAGCATACAATGCAAGCGCCTTACCAGCTGTGAACCATCTCTCCAAACCCCTCTCTTCCCTTTTAATAATTTAATTTTTACTTAATTAAACCTGTACCTTGGAGAATTACTGTAAGAATTGAGGGTCTCACAAACACGTGCACACACACACACACGCATGCATGCGTGCACATATACCCACATACACGCACATATACACATACATGTATGCACACAATTAAATGAAGTTATAGAGAGAAAACAAGGCTTCTCTCTAGGAACAGTCCAGAGGCCACCCCTTTCATAAAACCTTCACTAAATTTTGCAACAGGAGATCATTGTTGAGACTGTTTGTTTGGTATTTCTTTTACAGCTGGAGTTCTTTCCATGTCTTAAGATTATTAATCTTAAAACACTCCATGGAGAGAGAACACAGGGGATTGCCCTGCCACAGAGGCAGGGGGGGATGGGGGGATGGGGGTGGGAGGGATATTATCCATGGTGGTGAAAAACGGGCACTGGTGGAGGGATGGGTATCTGATAATTGTATAATTGAAACCCAAGCACAAAAAATTGTAAATCTACAACTGTAAAACAAAACAAAACAAAACAAAAGAAAACACTCCATTCATCTGGTCTATGCATCTTCAGGTTTGAATGCCCGTGCAATTCACTGTCTCTCTTCCATCCTTAGAATGCCATAGGAAACATTCAATAAACATAGGAAGATTATGATGGTGTTTCCAGGTCCCTCTAGTTTTACACATATTTCTGATCTCCCTAATTGGACTCTAAGCTCCTCCAAAGGAAGAATGTTATCTGCTCCAAAGGATGAATATCTATGATGTTCATCCCTCTATTTTCACAACCTAACACGGCACCTGGAACAGAAAAGGTTCCATAATTATCTGTGGAATGAATGAATGATGTTTATTTTTAAACATATTTTTGGGTATATTTTTGGTCCAACACACAGCACGGATAATTTCCTAATCACTGACACAATGAAAGAGTGTTCAAAGCCCATTATATTGCATCCATGATACCTCATACTCCTCCTAATATTTTTTCATTTTGTTAAAAGTTTGTTCCCTGGGGCCATGGAGATAGTTCAATGGGTAGGATTCTTACCTTGCATGCAAGACCGACTAAGGTTCAATCCTCAGCGCCCCATATGGCCCTTCGAGCCCTTTCAGGAGTGACCTCCAAATGCAGAGCCAGTAGTAAGCCCTGAGTACCACTCAATATGGCCCCCAAAAACGAATGCAAAAAAAAAAGTTTTCTCTCCTCACCAATTTCCCTCCTCCCACAGGGCATATGATACATCATTTACCTATGTAATCCCTGAGGTCAACATAGCAACAACAACAAAAAAAAATGTGTTGGGAAGAGAAATAGAAATATGTCTGGACGGGGAAACATAAACAGTAATTTAATCAGTTTGTCTTTTAGAAAATCTCTCTTGTTATACCTATCTACTAGATAGGTTAATGCCCAAGAGGTGAGTTAATAGCTGGTAGGGAAATATTAGAGATAAAAACTGTTGTAGGCTTCAGTAACATATAATTTGAGAACTTCTGGTCACGTAGTACTTACTTGATCTTTGTTTTTGATATGGACCTCTTGAATTCCTTTTTTTTTTGTTTCTTCACTTTCTTTTTCACCTGTAAAGTAGATATTATATTCCTTCTTAACCTGCTAGTCACAGCTCTTTGCTTTTATTTTACTTTTGGGTCCCATCGAGTGGTGCTCAGGGCTTACTCTTTGTTATGTGCTCAAGGATCACTTCTGGTAGGGCTCAGGGGAACATATGGATGCCGGGGATTGAATTGTGGTTGGCAGCGTGCAAGGCAAGAGTCTTTCCCTCTATACAAGAGCTCTTGTACTTTCTCATTAATTTTTCTCCTACTCTGATCCTTCTGCTCCAAAACATATCTCATATGGGACCCACAAAGTATCACAGAACTAAAAAATCCAAGATAAAGACGTATATGCATATAGGAATATATTTACATATAAAGATAATATATAAAAAGGCATTTATGGAGAGTTGGAGAACAATTTTAGGGAAATGGGGTAGGGCTAAAATGCAAGATGTGCAAATCTCAAATAAAAAAGGACTGTTGGTATGAACATCTATATAAAATACATTTATGCACAGTGAAAGTAGTAAAGACAAAGTTGAAAGAGAAGACACAATCTGGTAAAAGATATTTGCTAGACATATAACACAAGACATGAATCATTCACATTCAGAGGATGGTCACAGACCCAGACACAACTAATAATAGAAATTCTAGATCCCTAGAGTTAAGGATGAAGCTCAGCAGTAAAGCACTTGCCTTGCATGTGTAAGGCCCTGAGTTCGCTCCCTAGGATTGAAAAAAATGAAAAGAAAGCCAAGTTCTCAGCCTAGAGGAGTAGCGTAGTGATCGAGAGCATCTACCTTGCAAGCATAAGACGTTGAGTTCAAATCCTGGGGTTCCACATGCACTGAGCGTGGTCCTGGAAGTTCTGCTACTTGAGCCTGGCAGTGATCCCTGGCTCTGCAAATAATTTCCCAGCTACAGCACAGCCAGGAGAGTGACACAGCTGAAAAGACATGCAAGCACGATCCCTAGGAAATGTGAGCACATGTGCAGGCACCACGACTAAAGGAGGGAAAACCTCAGAGAGCCACATGACCCAGTGTGAGAGCACTCGGCCTGATGTATGACTCATGGTGGGTACCACAGTGAATACTGTCCAAGGCCCACAGTCAGGCAAGGGCGCCTCAACTGCCAGTCAGCACAGCACAACCACAGCAACGCCAAAGGGAAGAGGCAGGGGGAGAGCAGTAAAAATACATGCAAAGGAAGTCCAGTTCTCCACGAGGAATATTAGTTTAGAAGGCGAGAGAACCAATAGTCAGAGGAAGTAGCATTGTCACTGTCCTCCCGCTGTTCATTGATTTGCTCAAGTGGGAACCCAGTAACATCTCACAACAAATTGTGAGACTTGTTGTTACTGTTTTTGGCATATCAAATACACCACAGGGAGTTTGCCAGGCTCTGCCTTGCGGGCGGGATACTCTTGGTAGCTTGCCGGGCTCTCCAAGAGGGGCGGAGGAATCGAACCCGGGTCAGTCGCATGCAAGGCAAACACTCCAACCCAGGAGTATGAAAAATATTTATTTAAGGATGCTTAAGTGTAGAGAAAGTGTGGGTTTATAACAAATGAGCCAAGAAGGGCCACCCACACCAAGGGTCACTGTCTAGAAAGTAGCTCCAGGCTTTATTCACAGTAGGTAAAAAACACTCTGGACCTCCAGATATAGACTGCCTGCCGGGTCAGCTTTCCCTCCCTCTGTTCTTCATCTCAAACTTAAAGCAGGCACACATCTCCATCGGACTACAGAGCTTCCCGGGCCCAAAAGGAGGGAGAAGGACGAGAGATTCTTCTCTTCATACATTTGCTCTGTTCTTTTCTTTACTTCTTCTTCTTCTTCTTTTTTTTTTTTGGCCTGTCACTCTTCTGTTCCTCTTCTTTGGCTCATGCAAAGAGCAATTCTTCTGTATCTCAGCCTTCTCACATTGACTCCCCCCTCACTCTGTGCCACTGCCTCCCGTAACCTCTAGAAGGAGAAAGTCTGTCACTTGTATTATAGTGGCTTCTTCTCCAATCTGCTCCCCACTCCTCATACTCTCAACGCCAAGCTGGGATGATTCAAAGACGAGGCCTGGCTCCTACCCCTCTCTCTATTCTCTATCTTTAAAAAAAAACACTTTGGGGGGATTGCTTACTTCTGGGATGCACTTGGGGATCACTCCTGGCAGGGTCCTGGGTCTATATAGGGCGCCAGGGAATCAAACCTGGGTTCACTGTGTGCAAGGCAAGTTCCCTGGCCCTGTCCTCTTTTGTTATGTCTCCGGCCCCTACCTCTTTCTCTGGCTTCACCACCTCTTTCAGGGGTCAGCCCTTTCAAAAGGTGGAATGTCTTTGGGATGAAACAGAACCATAAATGAGCTCAATGCTATGCAGTTGGGAGAAGAGGGAAGGAGAAAGAATTAGGGAAGGCTTCCCAGAACTGATGACTTTAATGCTGGTGCTTGGAAAAGGGAAAAAAAATTGAAAAAGATAGCATGCACAACAAAAAGTTACAGGGACCTTTGGATTGTTCCTATACTGCTATTTCGCGTGAGTAACACATGGATGCCAGCTTCATCCAGACAGTCATTTTTTTCCATTTACTCAAGGATACAGCATCAGGGATCGGAACTCCCGAGCAAGCACCCAGTATTGGTTCAATGATTTGTTCACGTAAAAGGATTTGGGGGGGGGGGGGGCCAAATAACAAGCAGCGCCCTGCAACATCACGCGGGACAAGCCAATGCTGCGGTGGGGAGCCTAGGTCGCTGGCTCAGAGCTCCAGGAGCGGAAGGAGCGCGGCTCTTCTGAGCGTCCTGTATCCCGGCCAGGATTGGTGCCCAGTCGGTAAAGACAGGAGGAAAAGGTGGATGAGTAAACTCTAGAATGCGATTACATTCTGAAAGCCGAGCAGCAGAACCCGCCAGGCCAATCGATCCAGGAGACGCGGTGCCGGGAGGCGCCTTCCCGTCCTGGACAGGGATGCCCTAGACGGGGACCAGCGGGAGCGGACGGCTGGACACGCACGCCGGACGCTGCCCAGCAGCCAGCGGGCACTCGATCGTACCGAAACATGACCACGAATCGACCATCGCCAGGGAGAACCACGCGACCCGAAAGCGCGGTAACGGGTCCAGGGGAGCTGGGAGGATGAGCTCCCGCCTCCCGGGAGATGAGATGCTCTCTCCGGGGCTGGGGGACCCCTAGCCCAGTGTCTGGTGGCACCTGTCTCCGGCGTCGCTTCCGCCGCTTCCGAGGCGTCCGCAGAAGCGCCGTCCCGGCCAGGCGGGACGCGCGCCTGCGATCCTCTCGACTTTCTTTGAGCCGCTCCACGGTGGCGCCTGCCACTGTCTTCTCCGCCCCTTAGTAACCGCGAAGCGGCGGCGGGCGGTCTCTCGGCAACCGGCTGCTCTGGACTACAGGTCCCGGCAAGCTCCGCGGCCACTTCCGCCGGCCTCTCGCGTCGGCCCGCCCACTACGGGTCCCGACGGGCTCCGCGCGGCGCGTCACGCCGCCCGCTGCAGCCAATCGCCTTCCGCCAAGTCGGAGGGCCGGGAACCGCCGAGGCAGAGAAGATGGCGGCGGCGGCGGCACAGGGCGGGAGGTCTGGCGGCGGCGGCGGCGGCGGCGGCGGCGGCGGCGGGACCGGCAGTAGCCGAGGGGGCCTGCTGGATAAGGTGAGGAGTCGGCGTGCGCCGCGGCCGGGCCTGGGGGTGCGGGAGGTCTCGGGAAGACCCGGGGGGCGGCGAGCCCCCTCTCCCGCACCGAGCCGTCCCCGCCCCCCCGTCCTCCCGCGGCTCCCGCGGCGCTGGCCGCCGCCGCCGGACGTTCGGCTCGGGCGCCCGCAGCCCGCGTTCTGCGGAGCCGCGTCCCGCACGGGCGCCCCGCTCGGAAGCGTGGCTGGCTCGTGGCCTGCGCCGCGGCTCCGGAGCGTCCGCCGCCCTCCTGCTCGCAGCCCTGTGCCTGGGCTTTGGCTCACCGTCCTCGGGAGGGTCACCGGGGACTGGCCTCCCTCCCCTCCGAGGCCGCCCGCCTTTCCCCTGGCCGTCCACCCGCCGCGGCGCGCGAGGGGTTGTTGCGGAGCTGCCCGCTGCCCGCCTTGCCCGCCCGCTCGTGCTCGCCCCTTGCCCCGCCGCCCTGGCAAGCAGGGCTCGTGCAAGGGACGAGCAGAGCATGCCCTGCCCGCTGGGCTGGCCCAGCTCGCCCGGTGCCCGCATCTTCAGGGCCGTCGTTGCCTCGAGGCCGGGATCTCCTTGCCGACCCTGCCTCTGCAGATGCCCCTTTGGCGCGCCCTGAAAGGGATTTGAGCCTTCATTGGGACCCCCCAAGGTTCCCTTTCAATTCTCATTGGTAAGACCGGGGACGAGTCTGATGAGAAATGTGAACGTAGGTTTTTTTTTTTTTTAAATGTGGTAATTAGCCAGAATCCCTTAACTTTTTAATGGGAAACCATTCTGCCTTGCTCGTGATAGGTAGGTGCTTTCAGAAGGGATGCCCGGTCCCTCGAGGGCTAAAGATGCAGGCACTCTGGCCTCTCTTTTTGGGTCTCATGGGTTTTGCATGGCTCTGCTAAGATTTGGAACACCATCGGGTTGCTCCAGAATGTCTTGGCGAGGGTCTTGGGAATCCTGCCTTGCTGCCGGGAGTGTGCCTCCCACCCATGCTTTTCCTAGCCCAGCCATTCTCTTTGCTTTTTTTTTTTCCCTCTTCGCTTTGCTCCTCAGCAGTAGATTTCGGGCATGGCTGGGCGTGCTGGGAAGGAAGGCAGTGTTGCTGAGTGGTCTGTAGCACCCTGCCCTGATGGATGGAAAGAACCAGGATTTGGGCATCATTCACGTTTTATCGTAAAAGTAGCTGCTGCTTCGAAATTGTATGACCACTGACCAGTCTTGTGACTTCACTAAGCTTCCCTGCGTGGGAAATACTGGGCTTTTAGGGAGAACCAGGGGAGATTTTACATGTCAGTATGCCCCCATACAACACAGGTGCTGGGAAATGTGCGCTGGTGGAGAAATGGGTGCTGGGAGACTGTATGACTGAAATCCAATCATGAACAGCTTTGTAGAAAATGTTTTCAAAATTTAAAAAAATAAATAAAAAATAAAGTGGACACACACACACAAATATGCCCCATACATATGAATATAGAAGTCAGTAGAAAAGTTGCATGGTAGGGAAAAAAAAAAAGAAAAGTTGCATGGTGTCTTTATACAGGTGCTGTTACTGCAGTTCAAGTGAGGAATAGAAAGGCCCTGGCACCCGTTGGCTGAAGGGGTGAGCGCCAGGAGCAGGCCTCCCATCTGAGAATGGAGCCAGTCCTATGGGAAAGGGAAGGAAGGCAGCCTAGGGAGGATGCTTGAACCCATGCAGGAACCCGGAGTCGTGCCCTCATAGTTCTCCTATAGTGAGTTGGCTCAGTGGTTCTTGAATAGACCAGCAGTGAAGAGTCGAGTCGGCTTGGATTATTTTAAGCAGGACTAGGAAATTGTTGAATGTTTTTGTTTTCCTCTTCGCTTGAAGGAAAACTAACTCATAATATGGAGAGGCAGAAAGTAGAAGACTTCCTGTGAGATGGTATAACCATCTTAGTTTCGTGGTTTAGGAGAAAAAGGACGAACTTGTGTTCTGCAGCACGTTTCTCAATCTGGGGCCATGCGAGCCCCCAGGATATTCCAAAAGGGGCCACCGGTGAAAATGGCCTAAATGGGTGCCACACACAAGACTCGGGGCCAACTGGTAAGTCAGACAGAAGGAAACGAGGTGAAGTGGGGTGACAGCTAGGAAAGGTTGAGAAACTTCCAGAGCTACATCTTGGCCATGGATGAGTTACACAATAAGCGGAACCTAGTTTTCCTTATGCAGCGTGGATACAGAGTGGATCTGTTGAGGAGATAAATTCTAGGATATTGATAAGTGTTCTTTGTAAAGGGCTGTGGAAATCAAATGACAGTGAGGAAAACCCAAACGGGTGTATTAGAAATAGATGAAAAATAAAGTTATAAGAGTTATAAGAGTCAGAAAGCAGGAAGTGGCAGAATTTAGTAGGAAGGGAAGAAAAGAAGAGAAAGACAAGTTGTTAAGGTGCTTTTTCTTGAAAAACTTAAGCCTTTCAGTTTTCCCCCCCTCTCCAGAATCTCCAGCACTTACTGCCTGTGGACATTCAGCTAGACTTAGGGACAGTCTGTCTTCTTCACTACCAGCTTGTCCAATTCTTCGTGGGAGGTTCTTAAGTTCTCTACAGGGAGCAACACAAAATAAGTATTTGTAGGGCCAGAGAGATAGTACAGCAGCCCTTGAATGTGACTCTGGTTCTATCCCTGGCATCCCATATGGCCATATGGTCCTCCCCCCACACCCCCTCCGCACCCCCCCCCCCCCCCCCCCCCCACTGCCAGGAGTAATTCCTGAATGCAGAGCTAGGAGTAACCCCAGAGTACTGCCAGGTATGGCACAAAATAAAAAAAAAAACACATTTTTTTAAAAGTATTTGTAGCATTGAATTTAGCAGAGGAAAAGTCTCTCAGGTCTGCCAGTAGTAGTCTTCAGAGGCAGCCTTTGGCTCAGATGATCTGAAAATGGGGTGCTCTGCAAGCCGAACCTGGGATAAGTGTTAGTCTCCCTCGGAGCAGGAGCTGAGTGCCTAGAGCCTTCTCTCGGGATTGAGAGATGTAATCTTACACTTTAATTTGATTTGTGTCTATCTTTGGGAATAGTTTCATAAACTTGATTTCCAGTGGCTGTAGTTTCATTTGCTTTAAAGAATGCATTAAGAAGAGGCAGATGTGATTTTAGCTTTCCCTAAACAGATATGAATTTCTTGTATGAAACTGGCTTTAAGAGTAAAGCAGTTCTTAAAAATAGATATGCAGATATAGTCTTCCAACCTCCTATACTAAATAACTTAGATCATTGCTATGTTACCTGGTCAAAATACACTAAAAAACATGTTGTTCTCCGTAGCTGACTATAAAAAAATAATTGCTTAATTTGTTTGGCTATTAAAAACCAACATATGCTATTAACCGTGCTTTCAGAGGCTGTTGACCTTGTAACCTAAATATCTGTTTCCGGCTGAATTTTTGAAACTACTGACTCAGCATTTCAGTTTCTTAAACTTTTTTTTCCCCCCTTGGTATATTTTAGGCCACGCCTGGCAGTGCTCAGGGCCTACTTCTGCACTCAGGGATCACTTCTGGCAGGGCTTAGGGGCCCATATAGGGTACTGGGGATCAACCCCGGGCCAGCTGTATGTAAAGCAAGCATCCTACCTATCTGGCCCCAAAGCAATTTTTTTCATAACATGTTGGGAAGATTCTCTATCAACTACCCCTGGGGTTTTAGTTGAAAATACAGATTTCTGGACTTCATCCTGAACCCACGTCAGATTCTGTGGAGGTGGGGATCCTGACAACTGCATGTTTTCAAACAGAGCTACCTAGCTGGGTATATTTCTGTGTTTGTTTCCTCTGCACTTGTAGTTACTTCTGGTTGAAAGCTATTGTCTTAGATGAGTTTAGATCCCTTTTGATTCTGATATTTTAAGATACAGGGTTCTGTGCTTTCTGGTATTTTAAGGGTTGTGTATATTTGTATGTGTGTTCTGCTTTATCAGTCAATGGCTTTTCTAAAATGTTTATGATGAAGAGACCTTGAGGTTTCGCTGTTCCAGCTTCCTCCTTTATAGATAATGAACTCAGTCTCAAAGAGCAAAAGATGAAGTCACTTGGCTTCAACACAGTGAGTTAGTAACAGTTCTAGGATTTGGTTTTCCCAGAACTGAATCCTGTCTCTCCTCCATTTGGAGAAGACCACATACTAACTAACGCAGTAATGAGAGAACCATGTTGTGAGGTTGAGTCAGACTGAAAAGCCTCATCACCTTCCACCCAGGATCCTAGGCCGGACCATCTGTCTTTGACTGTCTTTGATCGTCTTGCCTTGCAGACTTCTGAGTGGCTTGTGTGTGTCTTGTGACCTAGCCGTGACAAAAATGATGGACAGTTTTATGGCATTTCTGGAATTGTGTGCATTTCTGTTCAGACTAGTAAGGTGCTAGCCTTCATCCTGTGGTTTGCAAACCAAAATTTAATATTTCAAAATAGGCTTTTTTACTTCAAAATGACAAACTTTAAGATAAAAAAAATTCATAGAATGAGAATATAATTTACAAAACACATATCTGATGAATGGAGACGTTACTGGCACCCGCTCGAATAAATCGATGAATAACGGGGATTAAGTGATTAAGTGATTAAGTGATATCTGATTTTATATCTAAACACTATAAGAAATATTACAACTCAGTAATGAAAACTAACCTAGTTTCTTTTATTATTGTCAATATTATTGTTACTATATTTTGGTTCTGGGGCCACACCTGGTGGTGCTTGGGGATCCAGGGCTCCTCGTTTTTCACAAAATAAATTTTCATTTTGGAAATGTGTGTGTTTATCAAACCATATCTGACTTTAAAACTTAAACCTTTATCTACTATACTATGCTCTCTTGCATAAATAAGTGCTCATTTTATTGAACAAGGACAAAAAGCACTTTACCTACCTCTTATACTTAGTCTAAATTCTCTTTGGTTTTGAAGTATAGTGTACTTAAGGGCACAATAATATATTCCTTGAGGTGAATTCAGAGATGAAGGCAAGAAAAAATTTCTGTCACTTAG